TTTTGACAATTTCCTGCTATATGCTGTTTATGCTGGCCACGGTCAGGTGTAGAAGGATTGGGTCGCAGTGCATCTGTGACCGCACTTCTTAGCTCGTGGATGATGTCGATTGCCAGCTATTTTTATAAAGTTTTTTTACCAATTTGACTCAAAGGCCGCCCGTATGATTCAGCTCAACACTACAAGCAGCCACGTCTAGAAATCTGGGCTGAAGCAGCATACAATTGAATTCCCACTGAGGACGCTTGCACCATTCTGGAAAAACTGGCTTTCGTCTTAGCCGTGAACAACCTTCTGCAACATTGTTATCACGAACTCCTCGTGACCTTTGCAGATCCATTCGGCAGGAAACAAATGCTAGCCCCGCTTTCTTTCAAGAAACTCCCCGAACCATCACTGATTTGCCACTGTTGTTATGCCGGTTGAACTGCACTGCATCGTTCTTAACCGAAAATACCTAGGGCCATTAGAGCTTAAAGAAGTCTGAAGAGAAATTAGCGAAGGATGCAGCGCCAAATTTGGTCTTGGACACGGTAACAAAGTATCAAACACAGCCATAAGAGAAAACACACAACGAAAAGACGTCGTTGCAGAGGCCAAAAAATGCAAATGGATGTGCGCGAACAAGTTGATAATCAGAGATCAAACATGATGGAAAGTGCGACAGTTCACTTTGAAGCCGGAAGCAGGGCAGTTGGTAAGCCACGACTAGTGGGAAGACTAAAGGTGTTCGCTGGATCGGTTAATAAGGAATGGAGGCAACTTACAAATGGTTTCAGAGCATAACATAAGTGTTATACGTTGGATGGCCTATGCAGACTTCTTTTCCTGGGAGAAATCACCTGTCTAAATGAGACACACTGCAGCAGTTACACTTATTTTACCTGGTGGTGTTTTCTCGAAGCGAGTTCAAGACATTGCGCTAGAGGCGTGGTACCCTCAGTACAACTTCTCTCAGTATGCCGTTGCTGCGTTTCATAGAACTCAAAACCTTTAAAAAGTTTTGTTTACAGATATTATACCTATGTATCGCGTACTGATGTAGCAAATTTT